ATGAGTTTCAACCCGTTACCATACATGAAATGAACATGAAATGTAAAAAAAAAACCCAAATGATAAATTTCGTGCGTCCAAAGTGCTTTTCTGGATTTACTTTTACCAGGAATGCTCAAACCTAAACTTTTGATTTGATTTGATTTTGATTTGATTTTTGGTGTTTTAACCCCACTTTTAAGCACCGCTTTTGGGCTATTTCGTGGCGGCCAGTTTTTATTGGTGGAGGAAGCCGGAGTGCCCAGAGAAAACCACCGACCTTCGATAGGAAAACTGACAATCCTAGTCAGTTAAGATTGGAGTTGAGTGCACCCGCACGAGCGGGGTTCGAACTCATAACCTCAGTGTTGACTGGCTAGTGATTACAGTAGTAACTACTTAGACCACTCGGCCTTAAACTTTTGAAAGCCAGTGATGTGTTATAACGCTGAAACATTAGCAGCTTTAGGACTAGATTAAACATAATTATGCATTGCACCGACTTACCAGACGACAAGATAATCATTAAATTAAGAATAAGAAGTTATCAAAAAATGTTTTAAACTTCAAGGTATTCAAAAAACAAAAGATCATAGTCCTTAAATGATGGCCAATTGTTTTAAAAAAAAACCTGTCCTATTCCTTAGTACACATTGAAAAATAACTTATTGAAATTTCATAGCTACAAAAGAACTAAGAAACACAATAAAAGGACTACTGCATTTGCAATATACAAAAATTGTATAACACAGATGGTGAGTTATATTTTTGAGAAAATGCTAATCATTTACAATTTCTACGATTTGATAGAGTTATTATGTACTATTACACATATTTATACAAATATTTTTGTAGATCGTTGACAATGATGGTAATATATTGCCTAGAAACACAGAAGGTGTGATTGGTGTAAGAGTAAATCCTGTTCGACCAATGGGATTGTTTTCCCATTATGTCGTAAGTGATGATACCTTTTTGTATTAATGATAAATAGAATAATTCGCACGTATGCAAATATAAATGTGCAGAAACATTGTTTGACTGAGAAACTTGAAAAGAAGATATTAAATTTAACTTTTTTTTGTTGTTTCTATATGTTTGCTACATAACATTGTTTTTTAATATATTAAAATGCAACGATTAACAGTAAATACATCAAATTCCAATTAAGCAAAGTGAATTTCCAGTATCCCTTAAACAAAAAAACAAGGTTCCAAAGTACACAGTACAATATAATTATGTAGACATAACCATGAAGTTGTGTTCCTTTATGCCGACCTTTCACTTTAGTTAATTTAGAAAACATATTTGCAATAGAAAAGGTTTATATCGACTTAACGCAACCACGTTTATCTAGAAAAATTAAAGAAATGCGACTCTAATGCTGTAATCTACTCCTTCATATTTTAATCCTATCTTATGTATAATAAGGAAATGTGCTTCATCAGAAATCTCTACCGAAAGTTTATCAGACCATCTGACATCCTAAAATAAGAATATTTGTATTTGAGCTTGTATTTTAATCAAAGTTGATTGAAAGTAGTTACTAAGAAAAACGAACGATAACTATTGTTGTTACTTCTGACTTTTCATAAATAAAAAGAGCCTAATCTTCAACAGTTTTCAGAAAATGCAAGAAATTATATCAACCGTCTGTTGTTCCTTAGCATGATAACTTTTTCAGTCAGTAGTTTATCGTTCGTTCTGTTGGTTGATATAGTCTAACGTTTGGTTTCGACAGGTTTATGGACTTCCCACTTTCTGAATCTACCCTGGATGTTGGTACTTTTGTAGAACGGTTTTGTATTCGGACCATTTGAGTACATTGTAACGGACAAACAATGTTTTGACCTTAGGTAGCAAATAGAATAACAAACCATTTGCCTTAAATTCTTTTAGGATGATGATAACAGAAATAAAGCCGTCTTTAAAGGTGATTTTTACTTAACTGGTGACCGTGGGAAAATGGATGAAGATGACTACATTTGGTTTATTGGACGTGATGATGATGTCATGCTGTCGTCAGGGTAATGTCTTTTTATATGGAATGTGGTGATTTGTTTGTTTTTGTTTAAAATGTGTAAACTAATTCTGTCACACTAAAATCTAGTAGTCATGTGAACCAATTGATAAAGCAATGAACTTATTTTTTAAAGTTTTAACAATGTATAACATTATAATAGTCGAGTTGAACTTTCAAATTAGAGTTTTGTCTATCATTTTTGTTAAGACTTGAAATTTTCGACAGTTTATTGTCCAATTAGAGTATTTGCAACGTATAAATTTTTGTTTTTAATTTGATGCGTGCATTTGAAATTCCTCAATTCGAATGAACTTCAGATTTAGATTTATCTATATATTGCAGTTATAAACTTATACGAAAGCGTGTTGTTCTCTTTAGTTATAGAATAGGTCCTTTTGAAGTGGAAAGTGCATTGATAGAACATCCAGCAGTTCTTGAATCTGCAGTAGTAAGCAGCCCGGATGAAGTAAGAGGAGAGGTATATACATTTGTTTTACTTTCATATAATTATTTTATAATAAGTGATAATGATTTTATTTCTATCAGTATGGTATGAATATTTAAACGCTAAATAAACATGTATACGGAAAGTTGATCCCTGGCCATGATTTTACGTTACCAGCGTGATTTGCCTCAACATTTCAATCATGTTCAGAACAGTGTGATATTCTTTGTCAACTTTCAAATTAATTTTTTTTATAATACACCTCCCAGTTTATGTATTGAAATAGTAAAATAATCTCTGAAATAGGAATATTTGATTTACCAGCGGATATGGACGAGACCAATCTACATCCGCTGGTTTACTTATTGTAAGGTTAATAGAGGTTTCTTCACATCTACAAGTGTACCAAGGAAATAATAGAGGTCTGTTGTACTATAGAAGATTACGTCTATTTACAAATCAATATTGACGCATCATAGAAAGACTTAACCCGCCTATAGTTCGGAAATAAAACTCTGGTTACCTAGACTTTTTCTAAACAGTTAGTAGACAATTAAATCTTACGAAAAAGAATTTTTTTTTTTGTTAACTGACAGCTAATAAAAATACAAGATTTCCTTTAATAATCTTTTGTAAATTTATCGATATCGATTGTGGTCCAATTTAACACTTGCGCACTGCGAGTGCTGATAATAGTAGCGTATGGTTTAATGAAATTTCACAATGACAACATGTGATGATAAAATGTTTTATTATGAATTTTTCCACTGACCTTTATTATTTTTTAAACACAAGATTTTTTTTGTGATCAATTGAAGGTCGTAAAAGCGTTTGTAATTCTAACAGAGCCATATTCCAAACACGACAAACAGAAATTAGGAGAAGAACTACAGAATCATGTAAAATCTGTCACTGCACCTTATAAATATCCTAGAAAGGTAAAACTCATATTATGTATGTACCTTTATTGAAAGATATCAAATAAGTTCTGCAGAAAAACAGTATACTTTAGTGACTTCGAAAATTACTAAAAGACAATCAGGCAAACAAAGGTATGAACATACGAATTGAATAGTCTCTTACAAGAGTAAATCCAGACGCTTCGCCATGGAAAAGGTTGCCCGAGGCTCGTAAATCGATTAGAAAGAGACAAATCAAGGTAACAAACAAAAATCGAGGAAATCGCATGAACTTCTATAGGAGCGTGACCGAGTGCGTCGACAGGATATTCCCTGTTTTGCATGCATCTCCCATCATGCGAATCACACTGCCAGAATGTCAAAATCGGGAATAGGACATAATCGTTGAAATTACAAATCAGTTAAGTCACTGTATGATCAACCATTACGAGATGTCGACCAAAATCTTGCGAGACAATGATTTCCGTCATTCTTCTTATAAATCATGTGTAAATCACATAAGCACACTTCATCAATAAATTATCAGTTTAGAATATCACATCATTTGTGATATCGTTTTGGAATATCATGTTAATTTAAATAACTAAACATGGTAGGCATATTGTAAGCTAGAGCTATACCATTAGTAAAGTACATGTACCATAACGATTGTATTGAAGACTCATCATCAACAGTACATCATTACTTAAACACTATTAATCATTATTAAAGTTCATTTGAATCCGATGACATTAAACAAAAAACCTATAATTACAACGTCATACAAGACACCTATAATTACAACGTCATACAAGACACCTATAATTACAACGTCATACAAGACACCTATAATTACAACGTCATACAAGACACCTATAATTACAACGTCATACAAGACACCTATAATTACAACGTCATACAAGACACCTATAATTACAACTTCATACAAGACACCTATAATTACAACGTCATACAAGACACCTATAATTACAACTTCATACAAGACACCTATAATTACAACGTCATACAAGACACCTATAACTACAACGTCATACAAGACACCTATAATTACAACATCATACAAGACAATGGAATCAATTCCTTCAAACAAATAGTGTATTATATTTTTAACCGTATTTTTTTTTCTAATAGAAAAATCGCGTGTTACTATGTATAAAGACATTGAGTGTTTGTGCAAAGAATAATTATAAAAAAACATTTTCGTTAATCAATTTATTTTGAAATTTCAACAATAAGCGTTTCTTTTGAAAATATTAACAGTTTTTAGATGGATGTTTGACATTTAGCAAACAAAATGCCAGACAATATTCTCTCGCTTTTCGGCTTGGTATTCTATATCACAATACTTTATCTTACATTTTTGTTTGTTTTGTATGTGATTTAATTAATTTTTTCGTTGTCTTTTATGTTACGCCTCTACATCTTGTATTCATCTCAGTTACTCCCTTTTTTACCTGCTTTTTTGTGCATTAATGCACTTAAGGTAAAGAAGTTAATAACTTAGTAATGAAGTTGTTAACTTCTATGTCATTTGGTCTCTTAGTGGAGAGTGATCTCAGTGGCAATCATACCACATTGTCTTATTTTTATATTTACATTTAAAAAAAATTATTAAACAAAAATTGTATTATAGATTGAGTTTGTGGATCAGTTGCCAAAGACAGTCAGTGGTAAAATAAGAAGAGTTGAACTGAGAAATAGAGAATGGGGGCGGCAAGAGATTGGAGAGTCAGAAAAAAAATAGAATATCATGTTTATTCGAAAGAATACCTTTTTATATGCATTACCCACATTCATCTGTACCATATCACAGAAAATATTAGAAAAATAATGTACTATTATGCAATATCAAAATAGAATAATGCATGGATGTTTTGTGAGTTCTTGTTTTTATACGGATGGAAACCCAACTTTGTTCATATTCCACATGAATGTGTGTGAAAAGACATATTATAAATTTCCATAGCAAGAAGATTGATAAACAAAATCAGAAAGCATCATGCATTTTTATGATTACTATTTAACGAAAAATGTTTTTCTAAAAACAGTTATCTATTCCTTAGTTTTATTGAAAATTCCTTTTCTTTCTGTCATGTTATTCAAGTGAAATTTCGATATTGACTAATGTTGATGAGGATAGTTTCGGAACACCATTATCCTGAAAAAATAAATTGATACATAAAAAGGTTAACAGGAACAATCATATTACAAGTACTAAAAAAATGATCATTATATCAAAAGCATACACTGTAAACATGTATTTGCTAACGTAAAATAATATTCTAGTAGTACAAATATATATATATATATATATCATTACAAAAATCGATTGACGAAGTTTTATGTTCGCTTTTCATTATGTAAATTATTACGATTAATACAGTTTTTCGAATAAACTTTCGTCAAAACTTGCGTATTGGTTTTATGATCAGCAATTGTAACATACAGTACTCTCTGTGTAAAATTTGTCATAATCAACTTCTCTGTAAAAACTTCTCTTTACTTATTCATATCAGTATCTATACGACAAAAAAGTACTAAATTAAATTTAAAATATAAACGCTAAAAATTAAAAAAAAATCAATATGCTTCGAAAATAAGTTTCTGTCAAGTTCCACTGATCACCGTATTTAAAAAAGTAAAATCACAAAAATACTGAACTCCGAGGAAAATTCAAATAGGAAAGTCCCTAATCAAATGGCAAAATCAAAAGCTCAAACACATCGAACGAATTGATAACAACTGTCATATTCCTGACTTGGTACAGGCATTTTCCTATGTGGAAAATGGTGGATTGAACATTGTTCAATAGCTAGCTAAACCTCTCACTTGTATGACAGTCGCATCAAATTCCCTTATATTGACAACGATGCGGGAAACCATCGGGAGTTTATGATTGGTGTAAAATCTCTGCACGTTTCACACATGCATTGAGTGGTGAATATCCCTTCATTTTGTGTTTGAGGAAATTTCAATGATTGATGTCAATACGAAATGTATACTAACCGTTGCATTGACTTGATAATGATAAGTTGTATGACCATGCTGGAGTTTCTTCTTTAACGTTATATCTCCTGTGATTGGATCGATAACAAAAGCCTTGTATCTGCACGAGGGAGAAGGCACCTGGTAGGGCTGCAAAATATATTTTAAGTTTGAGCAGTACCTCGATACTTAACATATGGTTTTGTGAACATATGAATCGCATATGCATCTTTTTGCGAAATTCGCTCCTGTGTATCTTTGTAAAAAAGATAGAACAGTAACGGTCATAGTAGCAAGCAACGGTACAAACTATTATACATTTATTCAATTACTTGTTAAGGGTGTCTTCCAATCATTAAAGACGTAAGAGTTTTTTAAAAAAAATGTTTAAAGTTAAAATGAAATTCAAAAGAGTGATGAAGCACTGTTCTTATGTTTTTAAAAATTACTCACCAATCAATATTTTAAGGTCATTTATGTTTCAACATATCCCAAGTGTATTTCCAAACAAAAATTCGGTAATGCAGTGTTTCATTACGAGAATGACATTACGAAGATGATACATTTGTAAATGGATTTCTGAGTCGGTCTTTCAAATATCAACAAGTTTATATAAAAAACATACGCTCATCGAGTAGTTTATTGCTGCATTTGGTCCATCGTCCGCATCCATTGCTGTTACATGTAAAATTTTGGACCCAACTGCCAATCCCTACAAAAGCCAAATAAATCGAAATGTTAATAAACTTTATACTAAATACTAACCGACGCATTTCTTGAGTAAGTTTTCTTTACTAAGTAAAACCAAAAATATGTTAGCTTACGCAAAGTCGTTTAACCATTTGCTCGAACGATTAAAATAAGAAACAATTGCTTCATAGTTTGAGATATCAAATATATACTACTTTGAGGTGTGGTTTAAATACTCGCACATGCATTTGTATTTAATAAAATGAGATATGGGGCCGAGAAGCGACCTTAAGAAAACAAACACAAAAGATTTCGGCCATATCAAAGACTAAGCAGGTAATATTTGTAGCACTATGACGTATTCACTGTGTCATATTTATATTCGTCCTGAATATTCATGAAACATTTAAAGCAGACGTTAGGCAAACAACAGTCAATCAACCAATCATATTTACATATTTATATTCCTATGGGTTTCGTGTGATCGTGTTGGAAATGTTTATCGATTGCTGAAGTTGTGATACGGTTGAAATCTTTTTGGCGCTATATTTTTGCATTTTAAACCATTTTTGCGAGTTCATTATACAAATAGAATTGTACGAAATATACTATCGTCTACTCACATATCCAACAACAGAACGATAATGGCCGTACACAAAAAAGGGGGCGTTGTTATTGACATCATCAATATGTAGTGGCAAAGTCAATAAAGTCTGAAATAGTGAAATATTTTTGACAACTGTTACTAAGAAACCAAGCAGGATCTCAAGGCTTCATTTTAACTTTGGTGGATAGTTGTCTCATTGGTAATCATAACACATCTCCTTATTTTAATAAGAATAATGAATACGATTTTAGCAAATGATACTTAATTTCATATTCTAGTCAACAAAAGAAACGATACAAGGCAATGCATTTTCCATATATATAATAAAATTCGATACATTGTACCCAGGTAAATAGTTGCTCAATTGGTCTAATATTTACAGAGTGTTATGTTCTTATCAAAACCATTGATTTAAGGCAAATACGCGAATTTTTGTTATTTTAAAAATCGTATTTTCATCCAAAATTCAAAAATCGATATTAGAACTTAGAACTTTAAACTTAAACATTGTCTGCTTACAATTTTGAATGCCTTTGCAGATATTTGAATACTTAATTCTCATCTTCGAAATTAAGTGCCGACTTTTGTCATCATTTCCCGCAAAATAAATTTGACCCCTGTGTTCAATAACACGGTATTTTCTCACTTTCCAAGTTGATCAGATTCTTTTAATCATATCCATTTTCTCTTCAAATGAAAGTTTGTCATTGGATAATTTAACAGTTTTTCCTATTTATTATATTTTATGATAAATTGGAGTTAAAACTTGTGTATCGTTACTTTTCTTGACTAGTATATTTTGCAGCAAGTATAAGACACCGATCCAATTAAAAAAGTATTAACAAAAATACCTTACTCCAAGGAAAATTCGAAAAAGGGAAAATCCATACAACCTGACAAAATCGAACGCTTGACTTTACAAACCAACTGAACGAATAGAAAACAATTGTCAAAACAGTTTTATGAAGAAGGAAATCTAAGAGTTGTACTTAATTTGACAATATGAATACGAAGTAAATAGTCGCATGGCTGAAGCTAGCTTAACTACTATCTTAATTCTGCATATTGTGGAATGATTTTTTTAATTGAAATACAGTTTGCAATTATCAATTACACAAAATAATAAATACACATTTTCAGAATATTCGAAGCTGATCCTGTATCTCTATATCTTCAGCAAGATAGCTGTTGTGCAATTCACCAATAATAACAAGAATTTAATTTCGCAATTGCTGTTTTCAATAATAATGAATTTTGCAAAAACAAAATGAAAGAATATCGTCATTAAATTGAATGTGGAAAAGTTAATCAACTGCAAATTTCAACTGAATTAAACAAATAGGTATTAATAGATGTGTTCATTGCATATTTTATGCAAACCTCTAATAAAACTGTAAAGTTCATCTATTACCTATACTTACATTACCATGATTGTCATGTGCTTGAAATGTCAAATACCATGTACGTTCGACCTAAAAGACACAAAATGCAAACATACATTGTAAGGACAATTAAGTAATTAAAAGAGAAACTAACTAGCTTTAAGGTAGATTCACTGTATACCGCCATCTTGGTTTTTACAATAGCAGTACAGTATCGGTCTAGTTCTTTGCCTAAATCCTCAAATTTTGAGACAGATTTGCAATTTATGTGTAAGACTACTTATTTGTATAAAGAAAAATAGGTGATTCATCGCATTATCCAAAATGTTTAAACAAAACCAAATATTTGTGTTTTTAGAATCAATTTTTCAACTTGGTCACCTAAGGGGAGATAACTCTTATGATAAAATTTTATACTGGACTGATAGTGAAATTTTCATTTTTTACTTGTAGCAAGAAAACAAGTATGGTGACACATTTTTTTCTTTTTATTTTCTTAAAGCATATTATAAAACCTATCTTCTCATATTTTATTTCAAAATTCGATCTCATAGATTTCTTTTCATTCACAAAAATGTGTTTTTTTTCATAAACAATCTATACAAATTTGGGCAATTTTGCACGACTTCTAGCTTGAAAAATAGCACGGCGACCCATACTTTTTATTTTATTTTTGAAAAAAGCATTGAAAAATCTTCATTTTGGCAAAGTATAAAAAAATTCTATCTGACGAAATATATACCGATGATCCACCTTAAAAAATATCCAGATGTCCAAAATATCAATACATTCTTGTTTGTATTTGATTCCACCACTACTGTTGTCATTTTTGCTACTTTTGGTTTGTTCGTTTCAAGTAATAATTGTCAGGAAGAAATTTTCGTTATATATATAGATAATGCTTTAATTGGGATTTGCAGTATTTTAATTTTGTGTGTTTAATAAGAAAAAACATATACTTCAAAGCATTGAATTATCTAGACAATGCACAGGACTCACATATGTTATCCTTAGATTGTAGAAAAGTTTGAACATAACGACATTAGGCTGTAGTCGTTCCCTTTTCAGTCGAAGACACATGCTATGTGTATTCCCAAAGTTCAGCTTCAAAGTTTAGACCATTTACTGGTCTCTAGTGATGTATATTTGACTCTTGAATTGTTACGTTCGTTCAGTAAACATACTACTCTCGTCCTATATACTAAAT